GCAGGGGTCTGGCCGACAGCAAGAAACTTGCACTGGGAGCAGGTCCAAAACAGTTGGCCCCGACTCATTGGCTGCACTCTTACTCATATATATATATATGTATATAGACTCTATAAAGCCACTAGTAACAAGAGCATCACTACTAAACAAGTAGCAAGTGCATCGCTACTAGCAGCAAGAAGCTACTAGTACCAGGGGCATTGCCACTAATAGTAACAAGTTACTATATGACTCTATGTTGCTTAAGCATCGGAATGTCTGCAAATGTGTCTTTAAAGGATGCAGCCACCGTGCCATTGCTCAATGCAGTTCACCCATCCTGCCCAGAACGTTGCCGTAGCTCTTTGCGGAAATTGAAGCCTTGCCAGGAAGGTTGCCGTAGCTACTAGTAGCGTCTTGCTACTAGTAGCGATGCACCTGTTACTAATAGCCATGCCCTTGCTACTAGTTTGAGGAACGTTGAAGTGGCTTCTCTCTATGATTCCGAAATTGAGCGCAGAACCCTCGATACCCAAGTCGTTCAACAGTTCACAGTACCTCAAGAACGTGGTCGTTCAGCTGCGCAAGTCTCAGCGAATGGCCCAGCCTGGCTGTGGCATTGGCCTCTTGTCGGTCCAAGTCTGCTTGCCTGGTTGTGCAATCTTGGACCTTCAAATCCAAGCGATGGACAATATGACGTTGACAATAGTTTTGACAGGTTCACAGCCGTTATCTTTTCAGAAAGTGACTGCAAGCAAACCATTTTCTTGCAGAATGCAGTGCTTGTTTTTGCAAGGATTATTGTGAAGATGAAGAGGAGACTCGCTATTTGCCACAAATCCCTTCCTTGTAAAACTATTTTGCAATTAACTGGGATGTCCTATGTATTGTGCCTGGCGTTCGCAAAAAGCCGCATGCTTGGTCCTGGCTGGGAACAAGTGGAATTCTGAAAGCTGAACTGACTGCCACCAATTCCAGCCAGTAGCTCAGAGCTGCCATTTCGTAGCTCACATTTTGAATCAAAAAGCGGGCCTTCCAAAAGAACCAAATTCATCAACGAGACCCACACAAGAAGACAATGCGATAACAGGTAGCATGGTAGGACATTGCGAAAATGTTGGGAACAACCTGATGTGTTTAGGAACTTTCTTACTAATGTGTCACACATGTCACATGTCATCGCTATTAGGTTGGAGGCCATCGCTAGTAGGTTGGAGGCCATCGCCAGCAGGCTGGAGGCCATTGCTAGTAAGGTTGGAGGCCATCCCTAGTAGGTTGGAGGCCATCGCTAGCATCGCTAGTAGGTTGGATGCCAACGCTATTAGGTTGGAGGCCATCGCTAGAAGGTTCGAGGCCACCGCCAGAAGGTTGGAGGCCATCCCTAGTAGGTTGGAGGCCATCATCAGTAACCAGTAACTGGGCTAGAGGCCATCGCTCTTCGGTTGGAGGCCATCGCTAGTAGGTTGAAGGCCACCGCTATTGGGTTGCAGGCCATCGCTAGTAGGTTGGCGGCCATCGCTCTTAGGTTGGAGGCCATTGCTAGTAGGTAGGCCATTGCTAGTAGGTTGGAGGCCATCGCTAGTAGGTTGGAGGCCTTTGCTAGTAAGGTTGGAGGCCATCCCTAGTAGGTGGGAGGCCATCGCTAGTAGGTTGGCGGCCATCGCTAGTAGGTTGGAGGCCATTGCTAGTTGGTTTGAGGCCATCCATCGTTGGAGGCCATCGCTAGTAGGTTGGAGACCATCGCTAGTAGGTTGCAGGCCATCGCTAGTAGGTTGGCGGGCATCGCTAGCAAGGTTGGAGGCCATCCCTAGTAGGTGGGAGGCCATCGCTAGTCGGTTGGCGGCCATCGCTAGTAGGTTGGAGGCCATTCCTAGTTGGTTGGAGGCCATCGTTGGAGGCCATTGCTAGTAGGTTGGAGGCCATCGCTAGTAGGTTGGAGACCATCGCTAGTAGGTTGGCGGCCATCGCTAGCAAGGTTGGTGGAGGCCATCCCTAGTAGGTGGGAGGCCATCGCTAGTAGGTTGGCAGGCCATCGCTAGTAGGTTGAAGGCCACCGCTCTTGGGTTGGAGGCCATCGCTAGTAGGTTGGAGGCCATCGCTAGCAGGTTGGAGGCCATTCCTAGTTGGTTGGAGGCCATCGTTGGAGGCCATCGGTAGTAGGTTGGAGGCCATCGCTAGTAGGTTGGAGGCCATTGCTAGTTGGTCGGAGGCCATCGTTGGAGGCCATCGCTAGTAGGTTGGAGGCCTTTGCTAGTTGGTTGGAGGCCATCGTTGGAGGCCATCGCTAGTAGGTTGGAGGCCATCGCTAGTAGGTTGGATTTTGTAGAGGCCAGCGGCCAGAGGCTCTGGCCGCGCTGGCCCATCCAAGGTGCCGCCGTCGGTACCTGAAGTTGCTGAAGTCAGACCCCTCACTGTGAAACACGAAAATGCCAGCCTTGCCTTACGAAATGGACTTAGCTGCCCAATATGTTTTCTCCTTCTTTTAAGTGTTGTCTTTTGACTTTCTACTTTGAACGTTCTTTTGTTTACTTTTATCTTTCCTTCTCCTTCCCTATTGAATTCGCAAGTTTTTGTTCTTTCAATTTGTTAACTAGACATATATAGCTGTCCCACGCTGTTCCAAACAAAACTGTCGACGTGTACTGTCACTTCTGTCTTGGGCTGTGACACATATCTCCCATCACAATAAACAACGCTGAACTGGAAAACGATGTACGCAACGGACTGTCATTCAACCCTTATGACAAAGTTGTGCGAGGGCCAGATCGCGGACGCATCCAAGACAGCTTTCCATTTTGCGGCCCCTGCATGTGTATGTCCACCTGAGGCATTTGATGCAGCAAATCACTGCCAACGCTGGCATTGCAATCATCTACATAAGCAGCTATTCGCTCTGCATCAAAGACTCAGGGTTGTGCCCAATAGGGTTTTACTTTGCCCCTCTGGAGAATTGAGAATGGCCTGCGAACCATTGAAACTCAAGGGCGCTAACAACATGCTGAATGAACTCATGTGGCTGTCAGCCGCCTCATAGATCCTTTTGGCAGCAAGGTAGTGCACGTTGTCACCATGTTCCGAAATCACTGCACGGGCAACCTGGCAATATTAAGTTGGAGGCCAGCGCTATTAGGTTGGAAGCCATCACTTCTGGGCTGGAAGCCATCGCTTCCAGGTTGGAGGCCATCGCAAGGAGGTTGGAGGCCATTGCTGTTAGGTTGGAGGCCATTGCTAGCAGGCTGTGTCCACAAACACACTGGGCGCAGCATGGCGCAGGATGGTGCAGCCTCATCAGTGAACTGTTCCTTCTGGGCCTCGCTGATTCGGGCCTTCAACGTTGTTGCGAAGGTATTTCGTCCGTCCATATCCATGTCGTCCATGTTTCTATTGGCTCTCCTAGCCTGAACAGCAGAGAGAAGCTTGGTGTAGTCCTGGCACGCGCGTTCCCTTTGCTAAAATTGTTCCTAGTCGCGTCCTTTGCTCTAGTAGTACAGCCAGGAGCCCCTAGTAGCGTCCTTGTTCCTAGTAGCCCCTCTTTGCTAGCGACAATCCGGAACCCGACCTCAGGGATGACCCTTCGAGCTAGGAGCCTGGCTGATGCGGGAAGACCGGTGTCGTCAAATTGGAGTTGAAACTTGTTTCAAGTGTCTAATCCGCCTGCTCTTTCAAAGCCCAAAAGAAACAAAATTTGAGTTCGCAGGTTGGAGGCCATCGCTCTTAGGTTGGAGGCCATTGCAAGTAGGTTGGAGGCCATTCCTATTCCACCTGCTCTTTCAAAACCCAAGAAACACAATTTGAGTTTCTGCAGACATCCTGTCAAACGGACAGCACTACCATTCAATCAACTTGCCATATTGAATGGCGAAGTCGGCGGACATGGCGCTTGCAGGAAGAAGAACACATATTCTAGAACACAACACAACGTTGAACTGTTATGTTTGCTGACACAAAAAGGGCTGCGTGGTTTACTTTTTTTCGCTCGCACATGAGTCGTCGTTGGCTTGAATTTCCATATCTGACACTTCCCAATGTAATTTGAAAGTGGAACCTTTGCTTCGCTGCTGGATCACTGCTGCAAACATGGCCAATACAGCCTGGACAATGACATGCCACGTTTTTGTTCATGTCAAGTGGTTTGATGCCTGTCTTCACTTCCAAACGTTGCTGTGAAAACACACCAAAGCGAGCCACGAGTGGCGAATAACAGAAAAGCGAGTTTGCCAGAAGAGCCACATCGACAAGATTTCTTCAACTGGTTTGCATTCAACAACCAGGGCACACGAAAGCACCTGCGAAGGTCTCTCCATATAGAAAAACCCACCAAAATGCGCTTTCTCTATCATCATCATCATCATCATCATCATCATCTTCTTCTTCTTCTTTCTTTCTTGCGCTCCGGAGTCGAAGTTAGAGTGGACCTGGACTGTGCGCGGTCCATCCTGCTCCCCACGAAGGGGCTCAAGCCAAACTATCCAGCAGCAAGGATTCTGAGGCCTTGGCTCTCTGCTGGTCACGCCAAAGAAGGTGTAGCATTGCCCATTGTCTGTGCACTGGGCAGTCATGATCTTCAAAACTCTCAACAAAATCTACGCAAAACGGACAACAGACGACACTCGCGCCATGAATCCCTTCATGGATTCCTCTGCTAGGGCCTCAGGGCGCTGCCAAAAGTTTTCATGGGACCTCAGGCGCAGCAGCAAGTCCGGAGGTACGGTGCCGCAGGCAACACAGCTCGTGGCCAGCGGCATGCAAAGATCAGGGCGCTGAGTCAGCAAGTCAGGATCCATCAAGTCCAGGGCCATTGGCCAATCTTGTTTCCAAGGACGGTCCGCTCCGTAGTTGGATCATATCTCAAGTTCTGAAACATAACTTCTTTGGTCGGCAGTGGTGGTGGGTCCTCTGAAATGAGCGAAGACACAGGTCGTTTCTTTTTTTGATGGGGTCCAGCGCCAGCCAAACCAAGCAAGCACTCCTCTAAAAGTACATGGACACGTTGCGCTGGAAGATGGTCGTCAGAGAGCCACCCGCCACCCGCCACTGCACTCAAGGAGAGCAGTCCTGTAGTGTCCTCAAAATGCCTCAGTGCCAAAGTGCCAGGCATTGAATCGATCAATCTGAAGACAGGTGAGGTCTCCAAAACCAACCATGGTATGTAGTCCGTATGAACCCATTGACCAATATCTGCGATGAGTAGTTGAAGGTCCACGTGATCCCGTTCAGGGCTCATGCAAGCATAGAGATGCACGGGGCAAGCCTCTGTTCCAGTGTCAATGATCTTGACGATCCCTTGTTTGAGATTGCCATTTGCAGCTGCGGTATGTGGTGCTAGCCAAGGCAACAAGTAGTGAATGAAGTCTACAATGTCACGCTGTTTGAACGGGTGGTTCCAGTCTGCCATCAACCTGTTCCACTCGCCATTTTCACAGGGCAAATCGGGCGCATTGTCCGCATTCTCAGCTAGAGTGAAAAAGACAATGGGTAAACAGGTCCACAGATGAGAGTCAAGTCACCGCCGAGTTCTGATAGCAGGCAGTGCCAGGATTGATCAATCCCCTGATTGGCGGAAGACTCTTGGAGTCTCGAGTAGATGGCCAAGACGTTGGCCACTAATTGCCTTGAAGGTTCCCTGGTCGAGCTCAAGCCATGATGATCTGCCAGGCCCCCAAACGACAGTGCAAGCCAAGTATCCAGGTCAAAGCCAGCGCAGGACAAAGTGCCATGAGATCCAGTGTGAGAGCATGACAAATGACAAGGTCCTCATTGGCTTCTTGGAACTTGTTCAAGTCGTGGTGGATGAAGAGGGCCAGGTGTGTGTAGGCCGCGCAAACGTATTAAAGGAAGGACGAGTACACGAGCTTTCCAAGTTCCTCAATGCGTTGAAACGTTGAAACCACTCAGCGAGTCTGGTGGCATCTGCCCAGTCCGTGAACAAAGGCCACAAATCAATCCAAGGACTTGAATCCCATCAAGTGATCAAACGTTCCCCCATTCGACTGGGCGGTGCCAGAACAAAAGATTTTCCTCCGGAACAGGTTCAGAACATTGACCACCGTCAATGCGGCGCCTCAGTGCTGCCAAGCTCAAGAAGTCCTGATGCGTAGAAGCCCGTCAACCTGGTCACAAGCCCGTCAACCTGGTCACGGGCTGCCTGAAAGGTTCTCACAGTGGTGGTGGCGTGCTGTTGCAGACCTGCAGCCGCGGCACCGGATTTGAAGTCTTGACCACAAAATCCACACAGTATCTGAACCCTCGCTCGAGTGAGATCTGTTGGTGAGCCTCAGGGTGCATCTGCTGAGTACGAGCGGCCCAGAAACCACAGAGCACACATCTATGGGTCAGGAAGTTGCGTAGGGTGTGATCATCCTGCAGCCGCTGAAGATCACCAGCGTCATAGATGTCCAGAAGTCAACGCTTAATTGGAAGAGTCCAGGGTCTGAGGAGAGGCCTTTCCAGGTTCAAATTCAGGGCAGTTGTCATTGGTGATGCGATGTATCAACTTACTCCACCGAACACAGGATGCGCCACAGTGTCTGCACGTTGAGGTTCCATAGTGGGAGTCAGTCGACTGTGAGCAATTCAAGCCAGCCTCTGCCAGTGGAAACGGAACTCCGGAATCAGGTCGAAGAGCATCGTCAACAAGCCAGGCGTCCACAGTTTGTAGGGTAAGCCTAAGCTGTTGGACGTCGTGTCTGTTGAATGTCTTCGTTTCGGTTGAGTGTCCGCTATCCGCAGCAGGAGAGAGGACATCCGGTCTCGCAAGAGCTGAATCGGGCGCTCCCACTGCAACTGCTGTAGGAGTTGTTTGTGTATCACATGTGACTGAAAAGCATGATCAGCTGCTACATATCAAAGTTGCCTGAGCAGTGCTTTGGCCAGTTTTGTGATATTTGAATATCCATGCCCACTGCATCCAGTCCATAAAAGGGCAATGTTTTCCAAATTTCAACTTTTTGATGTTGCGGTAAAACATTCCTCTTGAACCTTGCGTGCATCTGTCGAAATCGATGTCCACACGAAGTAAGCCGAGAATGAAGCGTTTCTTTCTGCGCGTGCTTGTAGAACCTAGATAGGTCTGCGCGGACTTGATGTGAATCTCAAAAGTCTCATGTCCTGCCTCTTGACGCTTGTAATGTTTGAAGCGATTCTTTTTGACCCATTTGCTTTGCCCTTCATGGTGAGGAGCACCGTCGACTTGTCACGTTGATGGTCATGCAATTGTTCCAGCACTGTGATTACAGTGAAGTCCAGTGAGCAAAGACACTTTGTCAGAAAACACAATGCAAACACGGCCATCACCTGCCTAGAGGGTGCAGTCGGAGCGCATCCATTCAAGACTGGCACGGTCTGCAATTTGTTGAAGTATCAAATCAACAAAACTGCTCCAGAAAAGGGAGGCTCTCCTGCAGCCTTGCCAGACTCCCTTGTAGGTAGTCAGGGAGGTGGACAAACCTTTCCACTGCATTGTATACACTCTATCACATGCCAGACCATGATGGTTTTTATCAAAGGCTCAGGAAGGTCCACTTAGCTTTGTCTCACAGTCTTTGGATAGGGCTGAGTCGAAAGTCAAAAGGGGGACCGGGTAGGGCAAAGAACGATAAAGAATGAAATGATCTGTTGCAGCCGAACGCCTGGGGTTTGGGACTCAAGCGAGCGCTAGCGGAACCAGGTCTTGGATTCTGGAAGGTGATCACCACCACGGGGCACACATCGAGAGCGTGGGCCAGCTCCTTTGAGCACTCGCGGCCCTTATCATCATCATCATCATCATCATCATCCTCATCCTCATCCTCATCGTCATCTTTCTTGCTCTGCGCTCTTCAGTCCAAGATCTGCGTGGACCGTGGTACAGGTCCACTCCTATGCCTCGCAATGCCTTAGGCCCAAGCGTCTAGCAAGTCCCCCAGCATGAGCGCTTTGGTTCGTGAGGGCTGCTGTTGACGCCAAATCACATATTATGAAGCATTGCCCATAGGTGTCATGGAGAAGTGCGGTCGTCAAAATTCGCGCCGGCCTCAGCATGGTAGGGGTGGCACGCACAAGGCTTGGTGTTGCCCAGCTTTGCATAGGCCGCCATAAAGGTCTCACCCGACAACATAGATCAGCATGCTTCCACAGCAAGTTGGTGTCCACCGCTATGGGCCATTCATTGTTCCAAGCCATGGTGGAATCCGAATCAGCTTTGATGTTCGCCATCATCACCTCCACATATCGTCCAGCGTGATTGGCCGAGCTCCCCCGTCGAAAATCACACGCCAGCCAGAGTACACAGATGTTCACCAGGATGAGATCTGATATAGGCGAGAAGGTCCGAGAAGGTCGTTGTTGCTCATCATATAGCCACCAGTTCTCGCCCTTGTTGGTGGCAGGGCAACAGTGTCCAGACTGAGAGCCCTCGTGTGGGGTACATACTCAAATTCAAGCTTTCCCATCACGTAGAAGGGCACACAGACCTTGTTGGACCATGTAAACTTGCGTTTGCAGTTGCGCGCTGCTGCACCATAGCCCACCAAAGCGCGCAGCCCATAGGAGCCCATGGACCTGTCAGTGAGAAGCTGCTGGAGGTCTACCCTGAGTGCGGGCGGGTGTGGCACTGACATATGGTTGGACAACCATGGTCCCCTGTGTCAATGAGCTTCACGTTTCCCTGGTCATCCATCCTCCATGCATGATTGCCATTGCAGCTGAGGAGTTTGGGGTTCATGAGTGTAGGCAACAGGAAATGTCAGCTGACAAAAAGGTTGTTTTCACTGGGCCGTCAATTGTGTCCACTCGCCATTTTCCCACAGCAGTTGGGAGAAAGATTGATAGCAGGTGATCCCATATAGATGGCCTTTCAGTCCATGAAAGTCCATCTACCACCAGGGTGCCCCAAAGCAACCCGATCACAGCTGCGTTTTGATAGCGGGCTGAGTGTGGGTTGACGTTGCTCAAAAAGATCATGAGTTATTTGTTCCGAGGCGATGACTTGGAGCTTGTCCTCGCGTCGAAGTAGCAGTCTTGCCCTCGTTTTCAACAAGTGCTGCGAGTCTTTTGTAGAGGCCGTCGTCGAGGAGGGCGTTGAGGGGCGTTGTTTCTTCTCCTTCTTGACTTGCCCTCTGCCTTTTCCCTTGCCTTTCCGAGTTGCCGTTGCGCTCAACGCGGTGGACCTTGGCCTCTTCGAGGGCCCGCCTTCTTGACCTACTTCCATCCATGCTGACAAGGCATTCATCATCTCCTTCACCTCCCTGTCGTAGGCCATGATGTCCGTGGTGGAGGATGACCAGCAGACATACTGAACAGGTTTTGCCCCTCTTGTGGTATTGATTGAGATACTGGTAGTAACAGGGCTCCCCGCTTATAGTGTTTGGCGTGATTGTGCCAAAGATGGACCCGTAGCTTTTGGGGTTCGGATTCTGTGCTCAAGTCTGACATAGTTCTGTGAGTGAACAGACCTTCAGTGTAGCGTTCAAAGTTTGAGAGCGTCGCCCAGGCCGCAATCATCCGAGGCGTCCTTCAGCCGCGTGAGGTCATGGTGGACGATGAGAGCAAGCTGAGAGCGCACGGCGCATGCGCGTTCACCTACGAGATGTTCCGTAGAGCGCTGCAATGTTGTATCCATTCTGCGTATCTGGTGAGGTCACGCCAGCCGCCAGCCGTCACTGTGCTCCTGGGCGACGCGTTTGAGAAGTGAGGCTGATGACTGCATGGGATAGGTGATTGCTCCTCATCAGGGATTTGTATCCCATCAAATGGCCACGCGGCGGCGGGTTGGAACAGTGGCTGTCATTGATGCGATGCTTCAACACAGCCAAGATCAGGAACTCTTCGTAGCAATGAGCACAGGCGCATTCCCCTGGAAGCTGGTCTCGTTGGGCATTGGGCAGGACCGTGTGGATTTGGCCTTGTGCTTCAGGATGATCACGACATATGTGTGCTCCCATCTGCTGGGCGCGGGCTGCCCACATGCCGCAGAGCACACCTCTATGTGTAAGGAAAGTGCAAATACTGCGGTCCGCCTTGAGGAGCTGTACATCTCCAGCATCAAAGATATCCAAGAGCCGCCGCCGTGAGGTCGAAAGTTCTGAAGAGCTTGCCTTGGTCCGGTCAAAGTCAGCGCAGGAGTAGCTGCCAATGTGGTAGGCAAGATTGGACCGTCTTACGAATGATTGACCGCAATGAGTGCAAGTGAGACGTCCTTGCTGAGCGTCTCAAGATGTATTCATGGTGCGTTGGGGAGTGGTCACTCAGCTGCCAGGGTTTGTGTGTCCTGACTCAGCCAGTAGTCAACGACACGCAGGTTTTGTCTGAGGGTGTCTGTTTCGTTGAGCTGCACAATGTCATGTAGAGCCAAGGATTGCATTTGCTGTCATTCGATTGGAGAAGAGTGACAGGATGCGACCACTGATTCGCGCGGAGCAGGTCTTTGTGTGCCTGGCGTGTGAGGAAGGAATGATCATTGGCAACATGAGG